CTCGGAAGTGACTCGGTGTTATTGCAAAGGGGTAAATCCATAATCGTGGCGTGCGCAGGGCTGGGCAGTGCAGGCGACACGTTGATAGCGGCCAGTCTTCGCACGAGAGCCACGTCCAGAGATAGCATCTGCCGGACAAAATTCGTGTGTTCCTTGTTGGCTGTGTGTGTGTGTGTGTGTCGCTGTCGGTGGAATGCTCGGTGTTTGGATTTGAGTGAGGGGGAGGGGGCTCGCTCGGCTCGTGTGAGCGACTGTCGGCTTGATTAATGATGCATACAAAGTACTAAATTTGGCGTTCATGCATAGGAGCTTCAAAAATATACATACGCCCGACACGAGCGCGCGAACACGCCTCGGGACATCGCAAACACAAACGTGGGCGGAAAATCCGAAAATCCATTTTTATTCTTGTCTGTGTACAGAAAACAAGTCACACGCTCGCTCTCGCTCGCCGGCTGAACCGAACTCTAGCCAATTAAATTTATCCTGCCGTATTCTCTTTCCCCCTCTTTCTCTGAGCTTGATCATGCGCGCCCTCCCAATTTTTCTGACGTTCTTTTTCGTCGTTTTACATTTAATTTTTCTCGACTTCACTTGTTTATGCTTTCTCTTTTCTCTCGTGCACGTACCACCACCACCTGCCTGATTCGGAACAATTACGCCGATGATGCTCACGTCAAAGGGCTGTGTGACGCGCTGGTAACGGAGAGGTTGTGACCCGGTGCCGTGACGGTGTGTGTTTTGTGACGCGGCAAATGCGCCGGACGTTGTGGGTGCGACCCTTCCCCCTCCGTTCCCCCTTTCACTCCCCCCTCCCCTTCCCCCTCCCCTCGACCGGCGTGATGGCCGCCGCCCCGGCCCGCCCCGGCGCGCCTCAGCCTGGGTACAGGCGGTACAGGCGTACACGTATTGTCTGCTCACCTCGGATAATATTTCGCTTCGGCACTGCACTGAAAACCCGGCGCCCTTTTCGCGCTGTCCGCGCGGCGAGCCTTGCCGGTCACAGTGTGCCTGCGGTGGCGCGAACCGCGCGAGCGTACACACAAACGTACTTGACTCGGTGCAAACGAGCGTGCAGAAGGAGCCTTGAATCGACGGCGCGCGCGTCGGCCGTCGCGACGCCAAGTACCCTGTAGTAGTGTAGTGGCAGCACTCCGCGCCGCATGGCCGCATAGCCGGCCGGACGGAATACTAAACGGGGGTTTTATGGGTGTCTCTTAGTTTGTAAGCGGCGGTAGCGTCAGACGTCACGCACAGGGTGACTTACTCGTCAAAATTAGTTTTGGCGAAAAACGTTGCGTCCTGCTAGTGTTTTCACGGCCTGAATTTTCACTACTATCGCCATTTCATCGACGCTCCTTCACTATTTTCCTCATCTTTTCGCCTCTTCTTCTTCTTGCCATCTCGCTGCGGCTCTGCCGGCCGATTTGGCTTCGGAGAGACACTGGACTGTGTTGGCGCCGCGCCGTGCCGGCCGTGCCGGCCGTGCCCCTCGCTATGCGGTCGTGAGGCTGGCTAATTCGTTAGGGCCCCCTCCCGCCATGCAAATCACCGAGCCCCTGCCCCTTTCCCCTCGCCTCTTGACCCGCGCGTCGCGCAATCGTTCTCTCTCTTTTCTTTCTGTCTTGGGTCTGGCTGCACGGCCCGGACGGCCTCTGGGGTCTTTGTCACCAACTGCCATCGCGGGGCCGCCGCGCCGCCGTCCAGGCTGAGGCTTTCCATGGCGTGCGCGCCGTGCCCCGCCGCGCCCCGCCACTCTCTCCCCTCGGCGTGCATTCCTCTCGCTGCGCCGTCGGCGCGGTCGTCATGGTCCATGGCCGTCGTCGCCGTCATGGCCGTCGCCGTGGTCGTGGCTCAAGTTTGATCCCCTCGTTCGCGCTCGACCCGATCGACTTTGGACTAAAACCGTGTCGGCCGCGCGCTGTTTGTTGTGGTTGGACCGCATGGAGGGCGTGTGTGAGAGTGTGTGTGTGTGTGTGTGTGTGTGTGTGTGTGTGTGTGGGTGCGTGGGTGGTGGGGCGCGGCGCCGCGGTGCGCTGCGGGCGTACCGGTGTTTGTTTACACGGCGTTGCTCCTCCCACTGTTTGCTTTAGGCCTCTAGGCCTTCGCCTTCGGGCTCGCCTTCGGGCTCGCCTTCGGGCGGGCCTACTTTACGGAAATCCGACGCGTTGCTCGCGTTGCCTCGCGGTGCCCGTCCGCGCCGTCCTGGCGCTGGCGACGCGGGCGTCTCGGACGTCTCGGCGGCCGCCATGTTGTCGCGGCCAGACTCATTAGGTTTGACGACGGCAGACCGAGAGTCGCCGACTCTCGGAGTCAGTCTGCGGTGGCCGAGGCCCTGGCCGGCCCTGGCCAGGCGGCGTCGATGGGTTATATATACCCTTCTCTTTGAGCTGCTCGCTGTGGCCAGTGGAGCGGGCACGGCACCTCAGCTAATTGGCAACCAGTATCAGCAGTGGACGGTGGCGGGGCGGGGCGGGGCGGGGCGGGGGCCGCACGACGGTTGGAGCGGTCGCCAGCCGCCGCGGTGAAGGGCGTCGCCGTCCTGCGGGTGCCATTTGGTGCCATCGAGCAGTGGCGGTTACCATCGGCCGAAGAATTGACTCGTCGATACCCCACGCGTCAGGCAGTCACTTCGCCGCGAGTGCCTGCGGTCTACATCGCGCGGAGTAGTGACGGGTGAATTCCTCGGGCCGCGAGATGAGACGCCGCGCGGGGTATTGCCGGGGTCGCCGCCTGATAGAGGCCATCGCCGTCCGCCCCGCTCGGCTCGGCTCGGACCGGACCGCTTGGCAGCTGCGTCGCCGTCCGTCCGTCCGGCGTCCGGCTCGCGTTGTTGACTGTGCAGAATCCTCCTCATTGTCTCGATTCTCTCGATTCTCTCGATCCGCCATGACAATCGAGATTCATTGAGGCTCGTCGCGGTGAGGCCGGCCGAGTCCGTCGGACGACTGCGGACGACGCCAGCATCATGCATGTCTGGGGCGTGGCGGGGCGCGGCGGGGCGGGGACGGCTGCGTACCCTTTGACACCACTTGGCCGGGCTGGCTGCCTCGGCTGGCCGGCTGGCCGGCTGGCCGGCTGTCCCGCTGGAATGTGGCCGGCCCGTCCGAGCGCGCGCCTGTCTCGCGGCTGGGGCGCTGGAACGCTGGGGCCTCGGCTGGAAGGGCCCTGTTCGTTCTCACGGGGCTCCTCTTGGCCCTCGGCGCGGTGCTGCGCTGCAGCGTCCAGCCTGCAGCCCTCCAGGGCGGCCCCGGGATCCCCAGCAACGCGATGAGCTTCCTTGAGCCGACGATCCAACGTGACGCAAAACGGCTTGGTCTGGCGCTGGCGGCGCGATCCCGCTGCTGCTGAATCATGCCCCGCGCAGATTATCGGCTCTTTATTTATTTTGTTTTTTATCCTTTTCATTTTCTCTCTCTCTCTCTCTTTCTCTCTCCCTGCCCCTCGTCCCCCATACGGGCACCTAAAGGAGAGGTTTCCCCTCATCACGATGACGCGGCGCTTCGGCTGTTTTTAAAGAGGTGAGGCGCGGGCGGGCAGTGCGGCAGTGTAGTGCGCACCGCGGCACCGCCGCGGCATGTGAAATTCACACATGACCGCGGAGTCGCTGGACGGCTTGATCGCACTGACCCGCCGTAGTCTCCTCTCTCTCTCTCTCTCTCTCTCTCTCTCTCTCTCTCTCTCTCTCTCTCTCTCTCTCTCTCTCTCTCTCTCTCTCTCTCTCTCTCTCTCTCTCTCTCTCTCCCTCGCATGGCGACGAGAGCGCCCCGTGAGTGCGAGAGAGACGGAGCGACAAATCTTGAAGGCTCGGAAAACGCTGCTCATAATGATCGGCGAGGCAGGGCCCCGGCAGGGCCGCATGTAATGAGGTTGCCGTGGGGCGTCCTGGCGTGAGCCCGCCGGCCGGCCCGGCACTGCACTGTACGGAAGTGTGGAGCATGCCCAAGTCGGGCCGGTGGGAAGGAATAATGTAACGTGTATGATCGGCCGTGGCGCGCTTCCGAACGCCGCGCTCTCTCTGTCTGTCTCTCTCGCACCTCGGCGGGGCGCCCCGTGAGTGCGAGAGAGACAGAGAGACGACGGCCTTGTTCGGAATCGGCCTGCTGCAGCAGCGTCGTATCACGAGCGGATCATGTCCTGACAAGGCGCGTCCAGTACCTGGGAACAAATCCCGCGCTTGTTGTTGTTGTTGTTGTTGTTGGTGGTGCGCTTTCGCGAGGCGCTGCACGCGGCGATAGCGTCTGGGGCCGCGGCCAGCAGGCGGCCACCGTGCAGCGCGTTGGGCGAGTTGACAACTGTTAGTACCGATAAAGGGCTCCTGCAAGGACACGCCGACGACGTTGTTGGCGGCGGTGATGTTAGATCGCGACGACGGAGGTTCTTTCTATCCGTCGTGGGAGGACTTGGTGTGACTTTGGTACCAGCTGTGAGTTGCCCGCGGGTCCTAATCCATCCCATGTGTCGGACGGGGCGGGGAGGAGGGTGGTTGGGTGGCGCGCTCTGCTGGTGGCTGTGCTTCGCCCTGGCTGGGCTTCGCCCTGGCTTGGCCACGGCTTCGCACTACACCCCGCTCGGCCCGGCGCCGCTGCGTGTTTGTTATGCATGGGGAAACGCCCAGCTCAGGCCGGGGGAGACGACCCTCCAGCTCGCGATAAATGACTCATATGCAAACACATTTACGAAATGGGTGAAAGGGAAATTGGATCAAGGGAGGTAATGTTTAAAATGAGATTATATGAAGGGTTGCGTGGAGGATGACGGCGGCAGGGAGAGAGTGAGGGAAGCCCCCGCTGGGTGTCGCGACCGCTTATGGAAACAGGCTGATCGAGTTTGCTGTTCTTTTGTTTCCGAGTGGCGCGGCAGTGGCGCGGCAGTCCCTGACGTCCCCGACGGTCCCTGGAGGGAAGCAGTGTTATGGCGTGACTGGATTCCACTCCAATTATGCTCTAAAAGCCGTGCCATGTCGCTTACCCCTTCCCTTTTTTCCTTGTTTGCCACAGGTGATGCGAGCAACGCGAGTATCGGCAGCGGGGAAGGCACCGGCGAGGAGGACGAGGACAGTGGCGGCAAGAAGAGCCAAAAGAAGCGAGGCATTTTCCCTAAAGTAGCGACAAATATTCTACGGGCGTGGCTATTTCAACATCTAACGGTGAGTCTCTTTTTGTTTTTGTTTCGCCTCGTCTGGATTCCCTGGATTCTTCTCCCTTTGACACAACGCGTTGTTGCTGTTTTTTTTTCGTCGCGACGAAGACGAGGAGAAAGAAAAAGCTTTTGCGTCGGTGCGATCCATTAATCCCGAATGCATATTGGGAACGGTCACTTCCGGCACGTGTTGATACGGAGGGAAGGAGGGTGGCCGAAAGGGGTTCGGACCCCTCGGCCGGTCGTCTTGGACCGCCGCACTGGCGCGCAAAGCGTCGCAAAGTCTCCGGCCCCGCGCAGTAAAGGCCACGCAGCGGAGGAAATTCCGCGCTGCGACGGCCAATTTCGTGGGAGATATTGGTCCCGACCTGTCTGGCTACTAAATCAAGATTGTTCGCCCTTCTCCCTTTTCCCTCCTTTTTCCCGGCCCGGGATTAGAGCATTCGCGGCGTCTGGAAATTGAATGGGGGTCGCCGCGGACAAACACTGGGAAGACGCGCGGCCAACTTTTTTAAAAACTTTTCGTTCCTCTTTTTCTTTTTTTTTTTTCTCTCCGCCCGAGTCGTACTTCTGCGGCCCATTTCACCCGATCGGAGACAGGTCGTCGAACGGGCGGCGACGCGGCCCGGGCGGACCCTGGGCGGCCCGGCCCCAGGGCTTCTGTCTTAATATGATCCCTTATCTGCGCAAATACCAGCGCCCGTTTTCCATTTTCGCCCCGCTAATTCGTCTGACGCTCTCATTTTTATTTTTTCCCGCTTCCTTTTTTTCCTAACGGGCGTCTTTGAAAACGGCGCCGTACTCGGGGGGCGCGCGGCCGCGCTCTAATCTCATCATGGCTGCCCCGGTCGGAGACAACATCTCGGCGCGATTGTTTTTTTTATTTTTATGTTTTTTACCTTTTTTCTCAAGGAAAAGGACGCCAAACTTTGCGATAACGCTTTGACAATGTATTTTTTGTCTCGTTTGCGCCGGATTTCTACTTTTGCGCCTCACCCTTCTTCTACTAGCGCCTCGCCTCGGCCCGCCATAACTCGGAGGCTGCTTTGCGCGAGAAATTGAGGTCGAGGGGAGAGCTCTCTCGCGTCGCGTCTCGACCGTCTCGGCGAGCCAAGGCCCTTCCAAGGTCTTAGCGTGGCCGGCCTCTGACCCCTGTCGCGGTCCTGGATCCGGCCTGGATGGCGTCCTGGATGGCGTCCTGGATGGCGGCCCGGATGGCCCCTGCGCGGCCTCTTGGCGCCGTAGCCATACCGTTTGCACACCATATGAGCGCAACGGCCGCCGCGGCCCCTCTATATATTTCCATGATTTTTCCTCGCCGCGCGAAGGGCGCAGCCGAGGGGGAGGAGCGGATTTTTTTTTCGGTCGTCTTGGAACCTCCTTCCTCCCCGACTACTACATGTTCCCCGGCTTTCCCTGAGCCTCAGCCCCCGGACGGACTGGGCCCTTTTGAATGGCCCGGCCCGCGGCTATATACATAATGGAAATACTAGGCCAGCAAACACACGCACGCACGCACGCACACACGCGCGCGCCGCGCTGTTTACATGCTGGCGCGGTTTTTCCGCGTGCTGGCTCGGTGTCGGCCACGGCGCCTTACAAATTCTTCGACAGTCAGCACGAATAGTGGCGCCGCGCTGCGTCTGTGTGTGTGCGTCTGTGTGTGCGCGTCTGTGTGTGTGCGTGTTTGCGTACGCGTGCCTGCGGGCCGAGGCCTGGGCCCTGGTGTTGGGATGAATGACCACGGCGTCAAGTCCGGGTTGCTGCTGCCTGTCCGGCGTGTACACTCGAGTGGACGAGGGTCTGCCGTCGGCGTCCTCTCCGCCGACCGACCCAGCCTCCAGTAGTGCCTCCAGTCACACTAGTCCGCCCTCAAGGCCCTGTAGGTGTCCATTATGACGGATTAGGCTGTCATAGCGAGGGGGGGGGCCGCAGGGGCCGGCCGGCCGGGCCGCGCACCTACGCACAGTGTCCACCGCCACCCTTCCAGGCTTCCAGCGCTTCCAGCGCGCTAAGCTCACCTCGGCGCCACTCCGCCACTCGCTCTGCCCATTCCCCACTCCACGCCGTGCCACGCCGCGCCACGCCACCCCCATGCGTATCTGATGCTGCTGGCAGGCGGCGTTGGTTCCTTCCACTGCAGTCGTTTCCTCATTTCTCGGTCCATTTGGCGTCTTTTATTTTTTGCTTTTTTTTCGGCGCGTGGAACGGCGCGCGGGACTAAGCCCTGCCGGCGCTCGATCAGCATAGTGCCCTGCTTGAACTCGCTGTGTTTTTTCGTTTTTTTAGTTTGTTTCATTTGGCAGCTGCGCGAGGTACCCGCCGGCCCGGGGGATGGCGAAAGGGATTAGAAACCGTAGGGCCGTGTTGGTTTGCGGTCCGGGGGACGGATGTGTCGGCCCGGGCTTTGGCAAGGGCTTTGGCAAGGGCGCAGTGTCGCGGCGCGTCGCGTTTGCCGAAGGATTGGCTGACTTGGTGACTTCTGGCGGTGCCGGGACGGGACGGCCGGGTCGGGTATAGCGGATTCCTGCTTGCGCAGTCTGCACGCGGATTAAGGGCTCCGGCCGCGGAGTACGCTTAATGGCCCTTGGCGTTTTATCTAGCGGTAGCAGGGACCTCCACCAGCCCTCCCTTCGCCCCGCTTCGCCCCCTCCGGGCCTCGGGAGGGATGTCCACCCTCCGTCTCCCGGCGGCACGGCACGGCACGGCCTCCCTCCGTCCCCGGGGACTGCAGATTGACCTCGGGGCAGCGCGGCCGCGGGACGTGTTTTGCAGCCCGCAGACGCCTTGCCCTGCCTCGCCCTGCACGGCGTATAATGGCCATCGGCGACTTTAAAATGGCTCCATTGGACTGACGGACCAAGTGAAACGCGTCGCTCTTGTCGTCGACGGCGAGGGTCGAGGAGCACGGCGTCGAGCCGTAGTACCCGCTGCCGGTTTGGTTTCGAACTCGCCGGCCGCGACGCCGAGCTCGAGGCTGTTGTTGCCATGGCGACCCAACAACATGGCTGACCGCAGGCAGGGCAGGCAGGCAGGCAGACGGCGCGTGTGTCCAGCTGCGCGGCGCTGCGCCTGGCTTGCTTGCCCCCTCCACCCCCCCTCCCGCAGAGCCGCAGCCTCAGAGGTGTGGCCGCACTGCAAGCCTTGCCCTTCGCGGCTCATTATATCGGCGGCCATCTTGGCCGGCCGGCCGTTTTTTGCGCGCTGTGCGGCGTATGCAAATGCAGCCCGTTTAGCGCGGCAGCGCGGCTTCACTTTTGCCCCTTTTCTATTTTTGATGCGTGTGGCAGGTGCGGCACGGCGCGGTTGCGTGTGGTGGCGGGGCTCATGATCGGGCCCTTCATAATGTACGCCGGGTACACCGTGAAAACGCCCCGGTGCTTTTCCAACGAGGGCTCGACGTGGAGGTCGACGCGGAGGTCGGCGGGGAGGTCGTCGGCGACGCGCTACCGGGGGGATGAGAACTCCACGACGGTGTCATCGCGGACGTCGCAGGTGCATGTGTTCCCCGCGGCGCCGCGTTCTGGAGGATGAGGTGTGGGGGTGGGAGGGGAGCCCGTCCATTACCAGGAAGTAATCTTAGGGGCGCGGGGGAGGGGCGGGGCGGGGGAGCGGGCGCAGCATCCGAACGGATATAAATCGAAGCAGGCCGCGACGCCGCCGCGTCCTTTCCCACGGCGAGGATGATGATGACGGTACTCGAACACTCAGGTATTCCGCACGGGATGTTCGCCGGGACTCGCTGCGAGCCAAGCCCGGCCAAGCCCGGCCAAGCCGAGGCAGAAGGCCGAGCTAAGCCGAGGCGGGGCGGGGGGCCGAGGGGGGAAACCGGTTGCAGCGATGGCCGCGCATCACACGGAACAATGCTCGTATCGTAACGTATAAGTGGACCATGTAGAGCATCGGTCGCAGCACGAGAAAGAATTCCACGTGGACACTGGCGTGTTCGTGTGTGTGTGAGACAGAGCGCGACGCGTCGGAAATGTTTGGCGCCGCGGCGTCTGGCCGGCCCGGCTCCGAATTTACGATTGGCGCTGCAAGATTGATGAGTCGGGGCAGCCGGGACGCCACCGGGACTCGCGGGGGCGGTTTGGCGCGTTTGGCGGCCCGCGGGGACCTTTTTGCACCACGCCGTCGTCGTCCATGACCACCCGACTCTTTGCCGCCACTTGCGGTGTGCTGGCGGGGCCCTTGCAGTGGCGCGACCGGTGCGGGGCCCTTCCTGGGGCATTCCCTGCTCGGGCGGGAAATGGCGGGAAAAAAGTGTCTGCGCGAAACAAGGAGGAGAGGGAAGGGTGGGTCGCCGATAACGTCAGGGTGACGGAGTGTGGGCCTTATCGACACGCGGCAGGCGTCTCGGCTCGGCACGGCTCGGCTCGGCTCGGCTCGGCTCCCACCGTGCCGATGCATTCATTGTGGGGCGTGTTTGTTGTGGTGACGATAGCCGCCCCCGCCCCCATCCCCCACTGCGCCGCCCTGACAGGTGTTGGTTGCGTGCTCGGGCGCGCTCGGCGGCGCGGGGGTGGACGCTGGTTGGCGGTGCACTGTTTGAACTGTTCGAACTCTAGGCGTTGCTTTGCGGTGTTCCCGCGCGATGCGAGGCTGCCGCCGCCGCGGTGCCGTCGCCGACGTCGTCCTCCGCGGGGCCGGCCGGCCGGAGGAGCAGAGCGGAGCAGAGCGGAGCAGAGCGAACCCTGCAATTTAGGGCCCTGGCTGTGATTTAGTGGCAAGCTGGAACTACGGGTCGGCAGTGTGGGAAAACACACACACACACACACACACACACACACACACACACTGCAGCAGCCGCGAGTGGCCAGAACGGGCGCGGCAACGGCATCTTGAAGATTGAATAAGATGTCCTCCAGAACTACGAGTGTAGAGGCCGCATTGAATGAATGGGTGCTACTGGTCGGCGCCGGCCGCAGTGGCGCACTTGGAGGGCTTGGCCTGCTGTGCGTGCGTTTTGTGGTGTGGCCGCAGGGCTCGCTCTCAGGCCCTTTAGGC